AATGAACCCGTTCTCATCTCCATGAACCCGGAGGCATTCATCACACAAAATAACCAAGCACCTACGATGTGATGCATAAGAGACTCAGCCATTTCCTCGGGGTACTGAACCACCACCATATCACTGACACTGTTTTTAAGGTGACCACAGACACCTATTTACGTGAGGAAAGGAGAACAGGTAAAATTAGGTTGTTGTTCACATTGAACAATCAACGAATGGACAATTCAAGGAAATCATGAAAAGCTAATACTTAAAAACAAAAATGAAGAGAGTTTGCCATTTGGGCAGAGAAAAGGTAAACTGTAGTCACACAGATGACGTGTAAGTGTAAGACCAAAACAAGATATGCAGAAAGAAGTAAGTAAGCTGGTAAGCAAATTACTGAAGAGAATAAAAGAAAAGGAAGGAAGGACAGAAAATATTAACTGATTTGGCCAAAATCAGTCACATATCTGCATCAAATGTCTGCAGGACAGCATTGGCTTCCGCCGCAGTTCACGGGCCTCACCGTTTATCAACAATGCAGATGCGATCCCACATTGAGATTTCCTAAATTTACGTTAACAATAATGCCTCTGGCATCACAGCCTTTGCCAAAGCACATTAAACAGGCTTCCACTGAAAACTCATTCATGCTGCTACAATGTTTTAAGTAGTGAAAAGAATAGAAAATTAAACAAATCTATAAAAATTAAACACTAACCATGGAGCAAAAACTAGATGTGGTTTTCCTCCTCCTGGCACCTCCTCTTGGCATTATGAACCTGTAGGAGACCTGGACATAGTGGGCATCTCACGGAGTGAACAGAGCAGTCACAAAGCTACAGCACTCCTTAAATGTCTTTCCACATGTCTTCAGCTCTTTACCGCCCATGACAGATCAGGCACCACAAAGCACACACAGGTAGCTCTTTTTAATAACATAGCAGCTTCTGATTTGCTGAACAAAGCCAACAGGTGAATGCTTCCTGGGCCAATTACAAATTCATCAAAAAGTGTGCAGCAAATTACAGAAATGGAAAACGCATCAGAGGTTGCCAGGGGCTGGAGATGAGGAAAGAGATGACTATGAAGAGAAGCATGGGCATATGGGGGATGTTGGGACTGTTCTATGTCTTCACTGTGGTAGTGGTTACAGAATTATAGGCATCTGTCTAGTACCCCAGTGTCTATTTAAGCAGGGGTGAGGGTACAGGCCCAAGTACATACAAAGAGATTAACAACCTTCCACGTGGGTATTAGGTGTGATAAGTCAAGAAGGTTCAGCACATGACCAAACACAGAACAGACAGAAATGAGCCCAACCACACCAGCCACCACCACCTGAGGATCTATCCGTTATTCATCCCCAAACACTTCCTCAAAGCATGCATCACACTGGTAATTAGAGAGAGTTCTGGCCCATCATGCTTTGATGTGAGAATTCACTCACACACAACAGGCAAATAAGGGAGTGTGTGCATGCCTCAGAGGCTGCATGGGGTCAGAACTGGGTTTTCTTAGGCAAGGACAGTCAGAACAACAGGAGTAAAAAGACCACCTTCAGCAGAACAAGGAACAGCTCTCAGTGCTGGCAGTGACTGTATTTTATGAAAGTGAAAAACAAGTGCCCACTCCCTTCTGGCCCAGCCACAGGTCTTTAGTGGTTTGCCATGAGCCCTGACAGTTTTGGTGGTGGTTGCAGAATGTGAGGCCCTCAGGAACTTGTTTCTTGCTACAACAGGAACAACCGTGTGTGTTCACTCTCTCTCTTCCTTCCCCACTAGGCTATGAGCTCCTTTCCAACGGGGACAGAATCTCTCCACTCAGCACGATATACCCAGAGCCTAGCACAAGGGCAGACAGATAAACAGTATCTTATTGACAGAGAAGGCACAAAAATATGACTTGAGTGGAACCAATAAAATCTCCTCCAACAGAAACAGGACTAAATTCTAGATTAACATCATTGTTCCGAGATGAAGGTCCACCTGGCCTCAGGCTATACTACTGCTCCCCTCTTGCTAGACCTACTGGAAGTCCAAAAACCTCTCCACTGATTTCCCGGAGCATGTCAGAGAAGGCAGAAAAGTCCCAATAGACGTGCTGAATTCAGAAGAATAATGAAAGGCCAACAAATCAAAAGGATGTGAATTTTACAGTCAAGCAAAGATGTCAATGAAGCTCAGGTCCTAGAAATGGTTGCTAGTTCCATTCCAGCCTCTGCCACTTATACGCTGAGTGGCCTTCCACAGGATTCCTCTCTGCACCTCAGTTTCCTCATCTGCAGAACAGGGGTAATCCTAGTTCCCACCTAAAGGGTTGCTGTGAGGATATAATTAGATATAGAATGGAGAGTGTTTACTCTTGCACAGGGCCTGGCACATAATAATAAACAGACGTATTTTGGCACTGTAGTGCTTCTGAAAATCCAAAGGTTTTGGGAATATTGGGTTGTCGGAAAAGTCATGACGTATTTTTTCTATGTTTTTCGTTGCAAAAATGCATCATGACTTTTCCGACAACCCAATATATTTTAATTAAAACTGCATAATTCAATTTTTCATCAAAAAGATCAGATGTATCACATCCCATGAGCTTAAATTATGACTCACTATAAAATTATATTGTCTATAGTACATTGCTTCAGGCACTTCATATAATTACCTGGATAAAATACACATCATATCAAAAAGTAAAAGATGTTTTAAAGTACAGGGAATATAGTCAATGGTACTGTAATAACTATGTACTATGTCAGAGGGGTAGCAGACTTGGGGGGGATTATCACTTTGGGGAGTTTATATGTGTAATCACTATGTTGTTTTGTACACCTGAAACTAATAAAAAAAAGTAAAAGGTGTTTTTAGGAACACGAAGCACCTAATAATACATTCAACACTCCTCTTTAATGGCTTAGATGAAAGCTGTTTTGTTTTCACTGGAGCATTCCTTAGCAACCATCATTGTTTTCCCAATTAAAGTGCCTTCACTTATGCTTTTATGATATTCCTTGTGCTCACCCTTTCAAGGGACTTCAGTGCATTCTAAACTACGTCTGACATTACTCAGAAACAGGAGGATTCGGACCAGCCGAGTGGCGCGTTGGTTAAGAACTGGCTTGGGATCCACAGGGCCCCGGTTCGGATCCCACATATGAGGGCCAGTGACACTGCCCTCTACAGCTAAGATGCTGAACAACAGCTCAACCTGGAGCTGGGCTGCCTTAAGTCGCCCACAACGGTGTAGGCTGCAGCCCCTGTAGCAGTGGGTTGCCATGGGCTACCGTGTGTAGCCAGCAGCCAGCGTGAGCGGCCAGCAGCCGCAGTGAGCGGCCGTCCAGAAGCCGGCGACTGATCTGCCTCGCCCGGGAAGAGCGCAATGATGGTGCCAACTTGGGCCAGTGAAGCAACATCCTCCACAACTAGACTGAAGAACAAAAGATAGCATCTTGTCTGTTCCCCTTCCCCAATTCCCCAATAAAAAAATAAAAAAATCTTAAAAAAAAAAAAAAGAAACAGGAGGATTCTATAAACATCAAGCAGAGAAGACAGTGCTGGTGGCATTTAGTCCTTGGCTCAGCAAAGAAAAATAATTATTCAGAGGACTTGCCTTAACTACTAATTCTGGGAAAAGCATGTTTGCAGCAAAGCCATGTGGACATGGGGTGGGGAAAAAAATACTGGAGACATCCATGACCAGAGTTGTAAATGGAGTTCTAAACTTGGATATTTCCAGAAGAGGCAAATATATTCTGCTCTACCAGGACCCAAATAAAGAGTGGGATTTGATTCAAGGCAGGAGTGTTCTGATCACATAGAATCCATTTGTCCTTATGGCAAATGGACGCTTTATACAAGTATGAGGAGAATTAAAATAAAAGGAAATGCCAAAGGAGGAATATCACTCTTCAAAATACGAGCAAATCTGAAGGGCTGACAATCTTCAATGTGGGGCTTTGCTACAGGGCTTCAAAATCAAGTAACAACTTTTATTACTTATGGTTGAGTCCAATAAATAAGGGATCTAGGTTTGTTTAATCCAGAGAAAGTCGAAGTGTAGGAAATACTCCAGAGTTACTATTAACAACTAATAGGTGTCTACAACAGGGTATGATGTCAGCAAAAGAGACATTCTACTTAGAAAGGTCTCACATTGAGGTACATCACCAAATGAGGCAAAATATTCTTTTCTAATAACTTTTAAGAAAAAGGCAAAACATGATGGTATTAAATGCAATTTAATCTCGGAAACATGAAACACACTAAAAATGAACCCCCCTCCCTTTTAAAAAGGCTCATAATTTCAGATTCATAATTCTCCCATAAACCAAGACCACTATTCCAAGACATTTCCTAGAGTAAATATTGGTTGGTCAAATTCAGTTGGCATTCCTGACAATGATCAGGTAAGCAAAGACCTAAACCTACACTGTCAAATATGATAGCCATTAGCCACTCATGACTGCTGTGCACTTGAGATGTGGCTGGCCCAAATTGAGATGTGCTATGAATATCAACTACACACCAGATTTAGAAGACTTCAGTACAAAGAAAGAATGTAAATTACCTCATTAATAACTTTTTATATCGATTACATAGTGAAACAATAATATTTTGGATATACTGGGCTAAACAAAATACAGATTTAAAATTAATTTCACTTGTTTCTTTTCACTGTTTTTAATATGGCTACTAGAAATTTAAAATGACATGGGGCTCACATTTGTGGCTTGCATTGTATTCTGTCAGAAGGGGTAACCAACCAAAATAAAACATCACTATATCAAACACACTTCTGGGTTGCTAAAAATTTTCAAATGTGAAAAAAGAATGAAGAAGGGTAAACGGTATCAGGGGCATTCAGAAGATGTGTACAGCAACAGCAGTAGCAGCAGCCATTATGTTGTTTTAAGTAAGTAATAAGCATAAACAACAAACTTTCTGGAAAAGGAGATGTTGGGATTGCAGATTCTCTTTTCCCCTGCCCGGAAGCATCCCAGAGACTCTCCTGCCTACCTTTGATGAGCTCTGGCCTATACGTCTTGCGTAGCTGCTCCAAGAAGCTATTGTAGACGCTCTCTGCCTGTTCCGTGGGCATTGCCAGGTGGAAGTCGGGCTTGTTGCCCTTGAGGACACACTGGAGGGTGAACTGGCTGACGCACAGCACCTCATACTGTTTGTCCATCACACTCTTGGACCAGTGCTTCCCACTCTCATCCTCAAACACACGTAAGTTTAAAATCTTTCGGACCCTAAAGGGAAAAATAGCGGTGAAAGCTACCTCCAACAGAAACAGGACTAACACAAGCCCCCCCAACACACTGCATATTCCCAAAATGTCAACAGCATCCTGCCAAACAAGAACTCCATCGTTTACAGAAAGGGTGACCTTGAGCAAGTTACTTTACCACTCTATGCCTCAGTTTCCTAATCTGTAATGCAGGGTAATAATGAGTTGTTTTGGGATTTCCACTTTTTTGCCAGTCCCTCCAATTCACAATTGAATTGGCTGCTGGTGGGAACTGGAACCAAAATGACAAGCACCCCATTACCTGTGCCTTCAAGTTAGGAAAGATGTCAAAACATGGGTCCAATTCTAACTTTTTATAGAAGAATTTAATCTTTACACTGTGATATAATAAATGGTACCCCATTTTTAAACCCTTTCCTGGAGCTACTCAAAATGAACAATTTAACAAATACTCCAGAAAAAAACGTATGGATATTGCAAATATGCAAAAAAGATCTAGAGAAAGACACCTGAACTATGTCACGTGCTCCTTAAGCCCTAGAGAGGCTTTTCCTATACATGTAGATGACTGAGGACAGCCATATTGGGAAGGAAGAGGATCAGGTAACATTTATAAGGTCAGATCTGAAAACCATGGCAAAGTACGACCTGCATGAAAGCTGAAATCCCACCACTGGAAAGTCACCTTTTTGGATGATGTTGAAGATATGTTCAAGGGCTCTCCAAACAGTAATTCACTGACTTTTTATATGGGTACTGTCTGGGCACTACTCATCACCCCCTCTCCACAGCCAGAGTTTGTCTTCTGTTGAGTCAAATCTCTTAACCACCATGTTAAGTAATAGCTCTCTGGAATGCCAGAGCCATAAAGAGATTCAGACCCAGAGCCCCAGTTTTCAAGCACTACACCACTCTACTGTCTCTTTGAGTATTCAGGGGACAGTTATTAAAATAACAACACCCCTAAAGTGGTATTGAACTGTCCTTATCGGTCATCAACACCTTAGCAAGTTCTAAGTCTGATTTTCAACTTAATACAAAACAGGCCATTGGGCAGGGTTATACCCAAGCTCTGGGCACCAAAGGGCAGAATAAATGGATTCAAGCATCTGATGCAAATGTGCCAAGTGGTGCTGAGGCTGGAGTGGCGGGGAGAATGTAGGGAGAGGGAGACTATTGGTACTGTGATAGCCAGTCAGGCAATAGCAATGACAAATGCCCCTAACTTAGTAAAAAGAGCATGGTTTCCAGGTTAAGTAGCCCAGATTCTAATTCAGAGACAGGCTTTTTGCTAAATGTGTATATGTGACCTTGAGCAAGTAATTTAACCTCTCTCAGCTCAAGACCCTTATGTGTACAATGAACAACTGAGCATTTGAATAATGCATAAACAGAGCCCAGATCATATTTCTCAAATTAAAAAACAGAAGTCATTCATAAGAGGCTTGGGTTTTGTATTAAGAAAATGGCTCATGGATGTAGCAGCAAACAGGAAGGGAGGAAAGTTGGGTTCCTGCTCTGTTCACTTAATGGGTGACATTTGACAGATTACTCTTCCTAGGTCTCCTCATCTAAAACACAGAGAATGCCACATGGATAAAAGTGACAGAGACTCATTTTATATAAAAAAGTACTATGGAAGTTCACAGTATATATATATTACATATATATTACATATATATATATGTAATATATATTACATATATATATATATGTATATATATACAGTAAAACCTTGGATTGTGAATAGCTTGGTTTGCAAGTGTTCCACAAGACGAGCAAACACTGCTAATACATTTTAACATAGTAAATGAGTGATGTCTTGCAATACAAGTAGTTTGCTTCCGGAAAAAATTATGCTCGCGAACCAAGATATTACTGTGTGTGTGTGTGTGTGTGTGTGTGTGTGTGTGTGTGTGTATAAAATATATAATTCATAATATATATGTGCATGTGTGTATCTATATGTGTATATGTATATATATATGTATGTATATACATACATATACAGAGTGCCAAAAAAAGTATACGAATTTTAAGAAAAGAAAAAACTTTTAAAATTGTAATACTCAATATATACTGATAACAAAAGATAAATACAAGTCACGTTTGACTTCTGCAATTACAAGAGGTGCTCAAAGTGATTACCATCAGCACAATTTTCATACAGTTTTTTCCTTTCTTAAAATGTGTATACATTTTTTTGGCACCCTCTATATATACCGGGGGTGCCAAAAAAAATGTATACAAGTGAACAGTTTGGTCTATGTTGCTCAAGCAGTAGTTCGCCGTAATCAGAAGTGTCTAGATGCTGATGGTAACCACTTTGAGCACTTCTTATAATTGCAGAAGTTAAATGTGACTTGTATTCATCTTTAGAGTATTACAATTTTAATACAGTTTTTTTCCTTTCTTAAACTGTGTATACAGGGCTGGTCGTGTGGCTCAGCTGGTTAAGAGCTTGCTCAAGAGTGCAAGCTCTGAGCAACAAGGGTTGCCAGTTCAATTCCCACATGGGCCAGTGACGCTGCAACCGAGCTGAGCTGCTGCTGAGCTGCCAACAGGTGGCAGGATGGCTCAAGTGGTGACAGCACGTGCTTCTAATGACAAGGTTGCCTGTTCGAGATGTTGGGCTACACCCGCCGCAACTAAAGACTGAACTCGGCATCTTAAGCTGAGCCACCGCCCTGGTGGCTCACGGCACAAAGCGCGTGCTTTTAACAACAAGACTGCTGGTTCGACTCCCGCATGGGATCGTGGCTACACCCACCCGCAACTAACTGAACACAGCACCTTGAGCTAAGTGGCGCAACTGGACTTGGAGCTGAGCTTGCTCCGCCCTCCACAGCTAAGACTGAAGGACAACAACTTAATGTTCCCCTTCCCCAATTCCCCAACACTGTTCCTCTCCTTCAATTCCCCCCCAACACTGTTCTGTTCCCCTCCCCCAATTCCCCAATTTAAAAAAAAAAATGTGTAAAGTTTTTTGGCACCTTCTGTATATATAATATATAAAATATATAATAGGTAATATATAATATGTATAAAATATATAATGTAATGCGTGTGTGTGTGTCTGTGTGTGTGTGTGTGTGTGTGTGTGTGTGTGTGTGTAAAATGGGATATAACTACCACATATCCCATTCAAACAGCAATGACTTAGAAATCCACCTCTTACATGTGCTCCAGTTCCTTCTGTGTATCTTCCAGAGAAATTCCCAGCAACACGCAGAGGCCGCGTCCAATGGCACTTATCTGCTCTCCTCCAACTAGAAAGGAAACAAACAAACAAAAACATACTCAGAACCAAATAGGTGCTGTGAGGCACTTTTAAATAACCTAGGGGTCGGCCAAGTGGCTCAGTTGGTTAATAATGCGAGCTCTGAGCAGCAGGGTTGCCGGTTCGATTCCCACATGGGCCAGTGAGCTGCACCCAAGCTGAGCTGCCACTGAGCTGCCAACAGGTGTCAGGACAGCTCAGCTGGTGGAAGCACGTGCTCCTAGCAGCAGGGTTGCTGGTTTGACTCCCACATGGAATGATGGGCTATGCCCACCGGCAACTAAGATTGAGCATGGCACCTTGAGCTGAGTGGCCGCAGGCTGCCCAACAACCAGCTGGTTGGCAACTGGACTTGGAGCTGAGCTAGCTGCGACCTCCACAACTAGGATTGAAGGACAGCAGCTTGGCTGTTCCCATTCCCCAGTTCCCCAATGCTGTTCCCCTTCCCCAATTCCCCAATGAAATCTTTAAAAAAAATTAAAAATAAAAATAAATAAATAAATAGCTAGCCTAGGAATGTTTAAACATCACACATACTTCTTATAACTTCTTTGGCATAGTCAGTAGGTATCCAAAAATGAAAGAAGTTACATAAATGCTGTAAGACAATCATAATTTTGGTCCATTCTGATTTTATATCTGGAATGAGTAAGTTGTGAAGAACCATTAAGCAGGATTTTAGGGCCACATCTTCATCTCTGTGACCTTGGGTAAAACACCTGAAACTTTTTATGATGGAGTTTGCCAATCTGTAAAAACAGAAGAGTTTTCCTGCCTAGAGAATCTACCTTAGCTATATTACTTCTCAGGAGATGCCTTCTTTTCTTGGAATCAGCAAATCTGGTAACACAATACACAGCACAAAATGGAAAATGTTTATCATAAAAATAAAGAAATTATTTTCTACTTACTGCAGAAAAGATAATTATACACAAAACCACGGTTTAAAAGTTAAGCTTCAAGTCAGCAAGTTTCCATTATTTCCCAGTTTAGTACTAAAGTTACATTCTAAGCCAATGATCTCCAAATCTTTTTGAATCATGCACCTAATCCACAAAACAATTTCTGAACATATATTCCTATTCCAAACATTTGTGTATGTATTTATAGCCAAATGTACGCTCTCATATAATTAGACAGTTTCTCAGTGTTGGTACAGTACTTAGGCCAAGATGCATCATTATGATGGTGAATCAAAGTCCATACTTCAAATGTTGATCTTCATAATTTTCCATTTTTTGGGCCAACTTTTTGTCAAATCTCATTAGATTATTGACGTTTTATTACTTTATCATGTATTGACCTAATGTTCCAATCAGGAGAGGGTCAACTTTGCCATTTTCTTGTGTTTGCTTCTGCAGGATAATAACACCTATAAATATACCTGACAAGGAATCATAGACTTGACAGTATCCAGCAAGCAAAGGAAAGAAGAAATTCCCTCCTTCCTTCAGGTGTCTGACAAAGGACCACCTGACATTCAGATCCCAGGGAGCACCAGCACCAACCCATTCCTGAAATATCAATAAAGCGTAATTTCTCTTATTTTTATGGTAAAATAAATTAATATTTTCTTCTTTGCTGCTTTTCCTTTTTTTTTTTTTTTGAAGATTTTTTATTGGGGACTTGGAGGAGGGAAACAGTGTTGGGGAATTGAGGAAGGGGGACAGCCAAGTTGTTGTCCAATCTTAGTTGTGGAGAGCGCAGCAAGCTCAGCTCCAAGTCCAGTCGCACTGCTTGGCTCAAGGTTCTGTGTTCAATTAGTTGTGGGTGGGCATAGCCACCATCCCATGTGGGAGTCAAACCAGCAGCCTGTTGTTAAGAGCGCGCGCTCTAACCGCTGAGCCACCCAGGCAGCAGCTCAGTTCAAGGTGCCAAGTTCAGTCTTTAGTTGTGGGCAGGCTTAGCCCACCATCTCCAACAGGTATCCTTATTGTTAGGAGCATGTGCTCTCACCAGCTGAGCCATCCTGCCACCTGTTGGCAGCTCAGTAGCAGCTCAGCTCGGTTGCAGCGTCACTGGCCCATGTGGGAATCGAACCAGCGACCCTGTTGCTCAGAGCTCGCACTTTTGAGCAAGCTCTTAACCAACTGAGCCACTCAGCAGGCCCTGCTGCTTTTCTTATGATGAGCAACTTACTGTCCTTTGAGTCACTGACTCAAAAGCTAGAACAGAAAAAAATGCACCCTGACATAAATAGTAAACAATTGGGGTTGTTTACTTGTTTGCATTGCTTTAGAAAAAGTCTTTAGTTTTATTTGTTCTTTAAATAAATCAATGTTATTTTCTTATAATGTAAACATATTTTCTAAATTTTCTCCAAAGTATGTTTTAAATGCTTAAAACATAATTATTATTGAGCTATAGCCACTATTAAAGTAATTATGTATTACAGAAAATTTGGAAAATACAAGAAACAGGAAGGAAAAAAGAACACCCAAAGACAAGCACTTTAGTATTTTAATGATTTCCTTTGATATTTTCTCTAATCATCGACTTTTACTTCATATTTGTTTTCAACTACTATAACATTATTGATCATAAATTTTTGTCTCATCTTTTCTCGTAACATTGCATAAGGGTTTTTCCATGTTGTAAGCTTTTCCTAAACATCTTTTAATATTGGGTTGTTGGAAAAGTCATGACACATTTTTGCAACAAAAAACATAGAAAAAATAGGTCATGACTTTTCCGACAACCCAATAGTTACATCCCATCCAGTGGAACAGTTGCGTTCCACTCAATGGACTGACTAACCATCCCATTTGCTGGATATATGGCTTGTTTCAAAAGTTTCACTTCGATAAATAACACGGTGATGAAAAGTTTTGTACACTGAAGCTTTATTTTTAATAGACTTCTTAGAGTAGTTTTAGGTTCACAGCAAAACTGAACAGAAGGTATAGAGATTTCCTTTATACCTCCTGCCCTCACACATACACAGTCTCCCCATTATCAACACCCCCATCACAGGAATACATTTGTTACAACTGATGAGCCTACAATGATACATCATCATATCATCTAGAGTCATAGTTTACATTGGGGTTCATTCCTGCTGTTGGACATACTATGGGTTTGGACATACTCTATCTACCATTATAGAATATCATACAGAGTCATTTCATTGCCCTACAAGTCCCGTGTTTCGCCTATTCATCCCTCTAAAGTGTCTTCTATCACTAGGATTATCTTTTCAGAATAGATTCACAAAAGTAGAACCATTATTTGATGTGATTTAAATCACTATTTGAAGAGTTTCAACAGTTTTATAAAGTATTATTGCATTAATAGAAAACAAATTACATCCCAAAGCGTATAAACGACATAGTTTGCTCTTTTATTTTGGAGAAATTTTGCCCCTCCTCCTGAGACAAGTAGAAAAAGTAGGAGGTTTAAAGAAATCTTTTATTATAAACAAATGGATTTCCAAGGAAAAAACTTGAGAATCACCATTTTAACAAAAGATCAACATGCTAGTAAAGACCTGAGATAGTTGGTCAATTTTTCCTATGAGTGGTATCATCCTTGAGACCTCTCCTTTGAGAATTTATAACCTCCCAAACCAAATGATTTTAGATCCCTTTCCCAACATTCTATGATTCAATTCAGATTTTAGCTGCTGAAGCTGAGTGACAGAACATGGGGTTACTGCACTATTACGTCTGTTTAATCAAATGAATGTTTGAAAACGTTCCATAACAAAACTTTTTAAATTAGATTATAACAATAATCACTCTAAGGCATCAAAATGTGCCTGCCAATATCATAAAGTGAATCTGCCACATAAGATGAGACTCCTAATACTCTGCTCTGTCCCAACCATAAAATTGGAAGTGACATTTTAGAACCCCTGAAATAAAATGTCATTCAAGTACAGCCATATTTCAGTGAAACCAGTCACATTCTTAAGAAAACAGAAAATCTCTTTCTATTACAATTCAACTATTGGGTCATCGGAAAAGTCAGGACGTATTTTGTCTATGTTTTTCAAAGGTCATTTATTGATAAAAAGAACAAAGATCAATCAATGATATATTGCCCGCTTTGTTCAATAAACTTTTGACATCTTTCAGTGAACTTCATAATCCTCGTTCATAGAAGGACCTGTCTTTATTTGCGAAAAACTCAATAAGGTGCTGATTTACAGCCTCATCTGAATTGAACATTATACCACGCAAAGAGTTTTGAAGAGAGCGAAACGAGTGGAAGTCTGACAGCACAGGGTCAGGCAAGTATGGTGGGTGTGGCAACACATCCCATCCAACCTCCAATAATCTTTGACAGGTGATCAAACTTCTGTGTGATCTCGCGTTGTCGTGGTGGAGCACAACTCCTTTACAATTAACAAGCTCTGGACGTTTCTGGATAATGGATTTGTTCAAACTGTCCAACTGCAGACAGTACACATTTGAATTGATTGTTTGGTTCCTTGGTAGGAGCTCGAAAAACACGACAACTTTAAAATCCCACCACAATGAGAGCATAACCTTCCTCTGATGAATGTCTGCTTTCAATGTCGTTTGAGGCGAATCATCATGTCAGGACCAAGACTGTTTTTGCAAACCACATGTTGTAAACAATCCATTTCTCATCACCAGTTATCAACTGCCTCAAAAAAGGATCATTTTCCTCATGTTAAATGAGCATATTGCAGATGTTTACATGCGTCATCAAATCAACTTCTTTGAGCTCATGTGGAACCCAAATATGGAGCTTGCTTACATATCCCAGCTTCTTCAGGTGGTCATGAACACTTGAATGATGGATGTTCAATGTTTCTGCAATCTCTCATGTCATGTAACATGGGTTTGACTCAATCAATGCCTTTATTTTGTCATCATCAACCTCGGTGGGTCTCCCTGACCGAGGAGCATCACTGAGATCAAATTCACCAGCACGGATTCTCGTGAACCATCGTTGGCACTGACGTGCTTGTAGAGCATTGTCACCGTAAACTTTATGCAACTTTTCACAATCTTGACACGTTCTTCCCCTTATGGAAGTAAAACAGTAAAATATGGCAAAAATGCACAGTTTGGTCTTCCATCTTCAACTTATTGTAAAATCTCCAAAAGTCAACCAAATCGTTCAATTTGTTTTAGAATGAAGCTAGAACTGTCAGCTGTCAAATGACATAGGAATAACATAGATGCAAATGACTCTAGTACTTCCAAAAATGAACTAGCACCATCTGTTGCAAACATGTCATGACTTTTCCGATGACCCAATAGGACTGTCTAACCCCAAGGACCACCCCACCCCCAAGCACTGAGAGAGAATTCCATTTTTATTAACACCTTCCCACAATTAATACTTATCTTTTTTAATAGCAGGTTGGTTATTTGTTTTTAACTAAAAGCATACAATTTAAATAGTTAACTAAAATCACTCAAACTATTCAGCGCATCTCACAGAATACATGTTTTCAATATTCCAGATCCCCAGAATGGAGAATTCAGGAGAGAGAAGATCAAAACCTAAATTCTACAAAGTTTACTCATTGTTGGTTATGACCACATAGAGCAGACTGCAAGATTCTTCTCAATAAAGCAAAAAAATATTTTCATTCATGAATTGTTCCAGTTTTCAGTGAACTTAAATATTAACTGAAATGCTAAAAAAATAAAATTAAATTAAAATAACCCGTTTTAAAATTCCATAAATCCCTGTGTTATTCTATTCCATATTACTCCAGGGCCATATCCAAAAACAGTTACAACAGCTTACAAAACATTAGGCATGGATGAAAAGTAGAATCTCAGACCTAAACACCTGTATGTGGTTTCCTTGTGTTTGGTTGTTTCTTTAGGCGATTTTGTTTTGTTTTTAGATCATCTGTACCCGTGATGTTCAAACTACAGTGATCAAATGATGACTAATGGATTAGTCCACAAGAAACTGGTCGGAAAGAGAAATATTTCACCTTGAATTCTTTAGATTCTGACATCCCTGCAGGGTTCAGCCAGTGAGGAAGAGGATATCCTGGGGAGCAGAGCTAGTCTGGGGGCTGATCACGTGGGTGTACACAACTGTTAGAACTCATCCATAGAAACAACTCCTCATATCTGTGTAGTTTGTTGGGAAGCAAACTCCATAAAAACTAGACAATGGACAAAATAGGAAATTTAAAACAGAATGCTGGAAAGGGGGTGTTAGTGCTCCAGAAATGCTCCGTACATGTTGTTTGTGCAATATTCCACTGAAGAACGGGCCATGGGGATGCTCGAAGGTTATACCACCCTGTACTCAGGACCAAAAAAAAACCTAATAAGGCGTGTTTATAGTGAACCCAAAGTGGAGACACTGAAGCCAGGGACGCGCTGGGGACCGCCAAGCACATGGAGCACATGGACAGCGCGGGGCCGTGGCTGCGCCCCGAGCCAGCTGGTGACTCGAGGCTGCGGGGGCCGAGTTCGCGCAGGGGCCGCAGCGGGCACAGCGGCTCCGGGGACCTTGCGGGGAAACTGTCGCGGGGCTGGCTGGGGACGCCCGGCGCGAGGTCAGGGGTGGCTCCTCCCGGGCCCGGCCCCGCCTGACTGACCTGTGACGCTGGCACGGGTGACGCGCTGCACCACGGCTTTCATGGCGCCGGTTGGGGCGAGTGGGGCGGCGTCGCGCTCCTTCCGGCCTCGCGACGCTGCGAGTGGTTCTGCGGCCAAAGCCCTCCGCAGGTGAAACCAGGAAGCCCGCGGGTGGGCCCTGTCCGACCAGGTTGGGGACTGGTTGCCGATGTCGGCCACTCCCACCCATAGGTTGGGCCCGCGCACGTCGGTTACGCCCACCTGAGGCTTAACTATAACGCCGCTCAGCCAGTGATAGGCCCCGCCCCGTTCTCGTCCTGCTCCACCCACAGCTGGGCCCCTCCGACCCCGCGGATCCCCGTCCTTGCCCAGACCAAGTCTGCCAACACCATGGTTTCCGCATCTGTTTTTTCACATCCCCAGGCCTAAATCTCAGCTTTGTCCTGAATCCTAATTGTGCCCGTCCTTCCTCTTTTCCATCCCTCAACCCCAAGATCCTCCCAGATTGTTTTCTTCTTGTCTTCTTGCCTCAGTGGCTTTTCAGAACCAACAGGAGCTGCTGCATAAAATAGCCGTTTAACTATTTAAGTATTTATTTGACTTAACCATGTCATGATAGTGCAGAGATGTATACTGTAATTCTGTAATTCTAATTTATCCTGTAATACAAATACTAATACTTAGCTCTCCCTCAAAGAATTGTTAGATTTTAATAAACTAGACTATGTAAAAGTGCTTAGACGGCCGCAAAGGACTATACAAGTATTACCCTCACAAATTACTATCACTGATAAAAATAAGCTGTGTGTCTTCTTCTTACAGTCCTCTAATAGCATTGGTAGGTGTAGAATGATGAGGTTCAGGACACACTACCCCAAAAATATGGCACCTTGGCATGTTGCATATTTTAAGCTGAAGGAGTTTGCAAAAACAGCAGAAGCAGGAAAGTCATTCAGACTTTCCCCTGACCATTCTCCCGTGAGACAGGTCATAAAACCTTCATGTGAGAGGTTCCCTCCCTACACCTGAAGGAAAGAGCATCCTTATCTCCTAAGAACCAACAGGCTTTGCTAGGTCTCCCCCAGTTTGCCACACTTACCTCATACTTCTTGACCTATCCTATTCCTCCACAACGACCCACTCTTCATCAAACCTAGCACAAAATCACTCAGATCTGTTTCTTCCAGTCTTCAGTTACTTATGAAGTCTCCAGTGTCATGTGTTGATTGAGTTCAGGCACATGTAAAACATAAATTTGTATGCTTTTCTCCTGTTCATCTGTCTTTGTCAGTTTAATTTTCAGACCCACCCAGGGACCCTACAAGTGTTGAGGAAAGCTTTTCCACCCCCTACAACAGAAAGCATTCAATAAAGAACAAAGAACAGTCATTTGGCCAGAAAAGACTACAAACGACTGTGCTTGAATGTTAACACTACATACTAAGTTACCTTAATAAAGTAGCTAAAGTTAACCTCACCAGTAATAAGACAAACATCATATACTCCTTGGTATTGCTCTGAGAAAGACACAACATCAGTTTTATGGTATTTCTGCCAAAAATGTATAACATGTATGGGGGAGGAGTAAACATTCCTCTACCCCCAAGGATCTTTTGGCAGGTCTAATAATCAAATAGACACAAGGCAGATTACCAAGTGAAAATAATCAAATGTAATACATACTTGTGTATCAGAACCCACATACATGCAAAAATCAGAGACCCCCAAATGCATGAGAAGTTCAAAGACAGAAAGGGAAAACGGGTATATAAGACATTCTGAATGAGCAGGACATCTGGACCCCAGAGTTTATTTTTGTATTTTGTACCAGGTCAGGTCTGGGCCTGTGCACTCCAGCCCAAAGGGCCCAATACCCGGTGAGCAGGACCCAGTGGTCATCTGCCCTAGGCTTGGGCTGGCTCCTGGCCCCCCCTACACCCTCCAACCCCCTCGCTCATTGGGCAGCGTGCACTGAATGGCACTTTGCTGAAACTCATTTGTTTCCAATAAAAGTTTCTGTGACTTAAAGAAAATAAAAAGACATTCTGAGCTAGGGGTAAGGTAAAGTGCCTTGGGTCTTCAAAGAGTCATTGCAAGGAGAATACATATTTAGCAATTAGTAGTTTGCCCTGCACTATAAATGGATCAAAGAAAGTTATCTCTGATAGTCTCTTATTATGAGCAAAACCCCAATTCAAGTTCTTCTAGGTAGTTCAGGAAGGGGCAAAAGTTTCTCTTAATCTCACAGCTAAAGTTGCCTTTAGCTCAAAATAATCCACATACCACAGAGGCACATGTTGGGGTGGCTCTTTCTGAACTCCCCACAGTTCCTGCCTCAGAAACATCCCTGGAAGTTTCTCATTCCAGAATTCGGGTTGATACAATCTATATCTCATTAAACCAGTCTGCTTGAGAAAAGTTCAGTTCAGTTAAACAGTTATTTCTCATTTCAGGAAGTGGTGATGCCGGTGGGCTCCCAAAGTTAAGCCTATGGTGCAAGCAATCAGGTATTTAATAAGAGGCATCTCTATGGAAACTAAAGAAAACTAAAGTTAATGATTGGAACAGACTATAATCTCAGTTTGAATTCTGAAGGCAAGCAGTTGAGAAGATTTCTAGATGTCCGTCTCAAATCATTTTCAGGTGGAGTGAAGACATGGAGTTATAGTCTGATAGATTCTAGTGGTCCGCAATTTGAATGTTTTTGGTGATCTTTCTGCAATAGGCATGAAGATTGTACATAGATGAGCTGTTGTGGTGATTCCTCTGAAGTCTATTTTCAAGTTGTCCAACTTTAGCTTGCATGGCCTTGGGAAAAGAGCAGTTTCAGTGCTCAAAGATTCCAAGTCAAAGGATAAAAGAAAATTGGTAACATTAGTTTGGAGAGTCATTGGCAGATATTGGAGGGAATTGGAAGAATTTAAGATCCAGTCCAGTTAACAGGTAGAAAACAAACAAACAAATAAACAACAATAAAAACAAGATAATAAATAGCACTAGAATCTAATATCCACAATAGTATATGGTAGTTTCTATTGAAATGTAATTTTTCTCTGTAAAATCACCCCAATTTTTACCAAACACAGCCAAATTAAGACTAAATTATTTGCACAATAAATCGTTTAATAAACTTGGCCTGATTATTTGTAAAGACCAGCAAGAATAATAATTAACCACATAGGCTCTTTGAAATCTGCTTTGCTGGTATTTTTCATAAGGAATCTTCAGAGTGAACTTTAAAAGGCCTCTTGAGGACAGAAAAGCCAAGGCAAGGACTTGCCATCAGATGCTGCCTGCAATACCTATAGATTTGGTTGAGTTCCTCTCTTCTTGAGCTCCCTAAAATATCCCGAGGTTCCTGCACCTGCCAAGAAGTAACATTCTTGGGCCGGCTGAGTGGCTCATTGGTTAAGAGTTGGCTTGGGAGCCCGAGCTCTGAGCAGCAGGGCCACCGGTTCGGATCCCACATGGGCCAGTGACGCTGCGCCCTCTACAGCTAAGATGGTGAACAACAGCTCAACCTGGAGCTGGGTTGCCATGAGTCGCCAGCGATGGCATATGCTGCAGTGGGGCTGCAGTGGGCTGCCGGCTACCTTGAGTGGCCGACAGCCAGCATGAGCGACCGTCCAATGGCCAGTGACTGATCTGCCTCAGCCGGGAAGAGCGCAATGATCACAATACCAACAAGGGCCAGTGAAGCGATGTCCTCCACAACTAGACTGAAGAACAAAACGACAGCAACTGTTCCCCTTACTCGATTCCCCAATGCTGTTCCCTCCCCCAATTCCCCAATAAAATCTTTAAAAAAAAAAACAAAAATCAAAAACAAAAGAAGTAACATTCTGTACTCACCTGGTAAGGCTGCTTGGAGCCATGTAAACAAGGTACCAGGCCTGTTTCCAAGGGTTTTTATTGGCTTCCATAAGTCAATCTTAAAGCTATTTGGTCATATCTAAGTCTATGCATCCTGTCTCTCAAATATGACATTCCAGTCAAAGCCTTGATAATATAGTTTCCAATTGTGTCCTGTTATAAGGAGAATAGAATCTTATTGAATTTATGCAAATAACAATATTGCCATAAAAATGAGAACACACGCTGCAAGTTTCCAAATTCTGGAGGGATCAAGTAGGAAAAAGGGACAAATGTTTCAATTCTGCTTACAAAGGTATAATTTACCGAACTGTATTGTCATAGCTAACGTTAGAAAAGAACTGTCTTTATACCTGGGGAAAAAAATTAAGAACCAGCAATGTTTCTAATAGTCATGAAAATTGTAAGCATTCCCATCAGTTCAGTCAGCCCTGTGTAATTAAAACTTCTTGTGCATGAATCCAGTTTTTCCATTAGTTCTCTCGAGCTTGCCTGACAATTGAGGATGATAAATAAGGTCAGGGATAATTCCAAGAAGTTTTCATGACTGTCCGTCATGGCTCATATGATTTGCTCAGTAAAGTAGGTGCCTCAATCACTAGAGATTGTTGAAAGTATACCCCAAATGGGAGACACATTTTCTAACAGTTCCTTTGCCACTGTGAGGGTATTAGTCTTTCAAGTAGAAGGCTTTAACCAATCCAGGAAACTTGCAAGAACATATTGGTAATCCATACTAAGAGGCAGGTGAATAAAGTCCAGCTTAAATGTACTATGATGATGAAGGAATGCAAAAAAAAAAAAAAGGGTTTGCTAAGGAGTCCAAAAAAACCAAGTAGTTGTCTTGGGTTTCCCATAGCTCTACTCATTTAATTTACAGCCGTTGTTTACCTTTATGATACACCCTAGAAATTTATCATCACTTATTTTATAATGCTTCCCATTCAATTTAACACACAAAATAAGCCTAATTAAAATTTCTCTTTTGTACGGAGAAAAAACATCTTTTGAGGTATTCCAGGGGCCCTTCCAGGTCAAGGCTCTATTTATAATTTGAATTTGGGAAATGGGTTAAAATATATCAGAAAGTTTGGATATTTGACAAAATAGGATCATAAGTCATTACGAAGCAATACTTAATTATCCATTTAGCCAAAGTGACAATAAAAGCTTTCGAAGACAAATACAGTTTACAAAATTGTTACCAAAATTAGTTCTTACTATTGAAGAGGTTGTTTTCCTAAGTAATAAAGGACCTCATTAGGACAACATAAAACACAGAAAATTATTATTATTAATTAATTTTTATTTTATTTATTTTTTTTACATTTGGGGGACTGTGTTTTTCCAGGACCCACCATCTCCAAGTTGAGCAGCCATTTCATTCTAGTTTTG